ACCAAGGCATGTTTGCGTCATTGTTAGAAGGACGTGAGAAATCCCTATTTGTCTCTCCAACCCAGTATTATCAAACTGCTTTGGAGTAGCTCTTCAGTTTCACAGGCCGAGTTCTTTACCATTACTGGTCCATGGCCCTTTTAAATGAAGTTGCCAAGGAGTCTGTCTTTACCAGGAGACCCTGGAAATTTTAGATGCAGAACTTTCAACATTGTTGTTATTCTAAATCCACTCAAGTGGTGGTTTCTAGCAGAGAGTGTTGATGTGGGAAGTCTCCTCAGAGACATAAAACTGATTAGTAATGACTAGCACTGTCTCCTTTTTTCACTGAGATTTCCATAAAGTTTCTGTTTTGGCTCCATTGAAATAATACAAGCTATACAGCTGCAATATTTGATGGGTTGCAAACTGGGCTTCAAACTAAACTCAGCAAAATCTACTGGAAATGTCCCATTGTTTGTGATTTTATAATTTTTCATCATGATAATCCCCTGCCCATGAAATAATTGTAAAATTGCAATGAACTATCCTCCAATCCTCAGAATGAACCTGAAACCATGGACAGTGAATCAAAAGCAGCTGATGGCAGACAAGGAGCCTATGTTCCCTGCAATTGAACCACTAAAAACATCTGTTTCTCTGTGCTAGTAATTCCACTCTATTAAAAAGAGTTTGTAAAAGATGGGAACAATTTCTGCAAATACCAAAAAAAAAGAAAAAGCACCTAATCCCTAGCTCATGCATTTGTAATTACCTGGTTTAGTCTGCACACTTAATCGGTATGAGTTTAGATAGAAATGCTGCATACATCTGAATTCAATCTATCAAAGAGAAAGGAAAGGAGGTACTGTATGAGTACTGGACACTTAACTATTCTTGCATCTGCCAAAACATTCCTGTGCCAAAAAGAGAGTATATCTTACACTAGGACTGTTTTCTAAAGAAGCCACTTGACTCCGATTAAATGTTTAATTTCCTTAAAACAGTATTTTGGACTTGGGCCTTTGTTCTTCCTGGTAATTGGGATTTCTGTTGTAGTTTAGGAATTTCACTTATCAGCTGGCTTTGGTCCAGTAATCCAGCTGGTATAGTAAAGCTGGAGGGAAAGGAGCAGCAGGCATCCTTTTGGTGGCTTTCTATTTGGCAGGGAGCAGAAATGTAAGATGCCATCAGCTGGTTATGTGCTTAACAAGGAATTCTTGTACTTTGGAATGAAATACAGACAGGGACAGAATTTCAATATCTTAAGCAACAACTTTTTGAATAAAAAAAATGAGATTTCAGCAATATATCCTTGCCTGTTTATTCCACTATGAAAATTTAGTGATGACTCATCAATTCAAGGAGGCCAGAAAAATCCACCATAGTAGTATGATTTCTAAAATTCTGGAATGGTTTTTCCAACTCATTTTTAGTTCAAGAAAGTGATCTGTATTTATACTTTTAGAAAGCAAAATGTTACACTTTAGACAGTATCACAAGCTATCTTATGAGAGTATCCTATGAGTATTATTATTTAAATTATAATACATTCAGTTTATACAACTACCATCATAAAATAGAATTATTTATTTATTTATTTATTTATTTAAATTTCTACCCCACCCTTCTCCCAGCGGACTCAGGGCGGCTTACAGCCATTTAAAACAAGTACGTAATACAAAAATACTAAATTTAAAATGTAATTAAAATAGAATATTAATTATTGGCCTTTTCTTGTTAAAATTATTTTTAAACCAAATTAAGATAACCCTTAGGCCAGTCCTGCTAGCTTAAATAGCCATGTCTTGAGGGCGCGGCGGAAGGAGGGGAGATCCGGAATCACCCAGATCTCTGGGGGTAGTTCGTTCCATAGGGTGGGGGCTCCCACCGAGAAGGCCCTCCCCCTGGGGGTCGCCAGCCGGCACTGTCTGGCTGACGGCACCCTGAGGAGACCCTCTCTGTGGGAGCGTATCGGCCGATGAGAGGTAATCTGTGGCAGAAGGCGGTCTCGGAGATAACCAGGTCCGATGCCATGGAGCGCTTTGAAGATGATAATCAACACCTTGAAGCGCACCCGGAAGGCCACCGGCAGCCAGTGCAGCTCGCGCAACAGCGGCGTTACATGGGAGCGACGAGTCACTCCCATCACCGCCCGCGCGACTGCATTCTGGACTAACTGGAGCCTCCGAATGCTCCTCAAGGGGAGCCCCATGTAGAGAGCATTACAGTAGTCCAGGTGGGAGGTGACAAGAGCATGGGTGACTGTGCGCAAGGCGTCCCGGTCCAGAAAAGGCCGCAACTGGTGAACCAGGCGTACCCGGTAAAATGCCCCCCTGGCCACGGCCGTCAACTGGTCTTCTAGTGTCAGCCGTGGATCCAGGAGGACACCCAGATTGCGTACCCTCTCCGAGGGAGCCAAAGTTTCGCCCCCTATAGTCAGCGACAGAGTCAGCTGACTATGCCGGGAGGCCGGCAACCACAGCCACTCAGTCTTGGAAGGGTTGAGCCTGAGTCTGTTTCTCCCCATCCAAATTAGGAGAATTAAATTAATAATTCTAAAAATAAATTAAAAAGCCATAAAATACATTCTAAGTGTAAGACCATCTAGTCCAGGCATGTCAAACTCATGATGTCACGTGACGTTGCGCAATGTATTGGGCCGGTTTTGCCATTGCCAGCAATGGGGTGGCTGCGGCTTCCACGTGACGCGTCTGGCCCGCGGGCTGGTAGTTTGATACCCCTGATCTAGTTAGTTCAGGGAATGCAAAAAGACTTAAGCCTTAAACTCAACAAATTTGATACCAAGTAAACATCCTTTGAAAGATTGAAAGGAAACTCTTCCTAATAGTTCACTATTAGAAAGGATTTTCTTTCACAATCTTTCACATCCAGATTGATTGCCTCTTACTCCTCTGGAATGCATCTCCTTACTACATGCCATCATATCTGGACTGCATACAAAGTGCTTTTCCCTTTCCTCAGTGTTTCTCAACCTTGGCAACTTTTAAGACTTGTGGACTTCAAATCCCAGAATTCCACAGCCAGCCAGCTGAGGTCCATACGTCTTAAAGGTGCCAAGGTTCAGAAACACTGGATTAGAATAAGCAATTAGGTCACTGTGACTAAATTCTGCTACCAATCATCATCAGCCAGCACTGTACCATCTTCTTTAATATCTCTCCTTTTATTAAACAGTGTGCAGGTGCTTTTAAACTGCACAAATTGCTGTTTTTATCCAATCATCATGAGCACCACGTTGTCTGAATTTTGGTGGGCTAGTTGAGGGAAAAATTATTTTGATAGGGAAACAGCCTTTCCCTCCCCCAAACACACACCTTTTGTGGGATCAGCAATGAGGTGTTTTGGCTTTCTTTTGGACCGTTGGCTTATGACTGTCGTAAAAATCTAATTTTGCTGTTAGAGTCATGAAAACCATGATTTCTGTGCTAATCTGTAGCAAATTCATTTCCCCTTCCTTTTATGAGCAGACAGTTAGTCGTGAAGTCTTATTTAGGCCAAGGACATTGCAGGAAGCCCTTGACTTATGACCAGTTTCTTAATGACCTTTCAAAGTTATGTCAACCTCCCTGGGTGACTTAAACCCAAATTTGAAGTTACAGCAGCCACTTTGTCCTCCATAATCAAGTGATAGCATTTTGGACATCCAGGATCCAGCATACATTTAGGGTCATTTCAGCATTCCCACAGTCACATGACCACAATTTACAATGTTTTTTGCCAGAAACGCATTTAAATCCAGGAAAAAAAATCCATTGCAGACAGTGTATTTGCTTAATGATTCTCACAAAAAAGGGCATAAAATTACATGATCACATGATAATCCACTTAACAAGAGCACAACATATACAGTTATAAGTTAAGGACTATCTGTAGTGTACATCCTGTTGAGGGAACTTCTGCAGTTGCTTTTCATGAGAAGATTCTTTGATGCATCTATTTCTTAAGTGTGCTGTCTCCTGACTTCTTCAGGAAGGCATAATATAGTGAAACCTTGCTTTAGTGGATTAATTGTACTCCAGAATGTCCATTGAATGAGAGAAATCTGGTTCACTGCATGCAAAATCTATTGCATCAAAGTCTGGTATATGGAGGTTTTTATAGAGATATAAAATTAAAATACAGTTGTGAAATATTTCCCTTGGCAGGTTTTTTTATAATATTGACAATTGCTGCAATCAAACTGAATCTTGATACCTTTGCTCTGCTGCATAAATATAATAAGGCCTTTACAAAACTCCAGAAAACTCTGTCGTTATGTGATCTTGATCATAGCAGATAGTAGCAGTTAACTGACTTTTTCTGATCTCAAAAGATTAAGCAGGGTTGGCCCTAGATAGTCTTAAAATAGGAGACCACCGTAAATTCCAAGGAAAAACAGGAAAGTGGAAAAAGATTCTGGAAGAAGAGAAAGAAAATAGTATGGGTGTATCCAGGTATCTACTAGAAATCCACCTTGCCTCATAATGCATCAATACATGGATTTTTTTTATTTGCTTTTGTGCTTCCCTTAACATTTTAAGCCAAGCATGCCCCAAAGCTTAATTCTGTCACTTCCTCCATTTAATGACCATGTCTGGAGCATTGCTTGGGTGTTTGGTGGGATCCAAAACTGTTTGTTTCAAGGAGGAGTTTCTTAAAACCGATGCATTTCCTTTCTAAAGGTTAGATGTCAGTGGTTTCTAACCACTATTATTTTTTAATTGGATCAGTTGTGGGGGAATTGATTTATTTATGAGTCATAAAAATACACCAGTGGAAGTTTACCAAATCCTATATGCTATTATAGCAAACGTTCTACAGGAAATCCTAGCTTTGGCCTGTCAAATGGCTGAGATTTGAATATTTTGGATATTCCTCTGTGCAGTAAAAGCTGGTTTGAAGTTTTCTCCTTTCCTCACGCAGTTTCTCAAAACTGATAGCTTCATACTCATTCTACCCATAGAGTTTCTCAACAATTTTTTTACATCCTTTGTTCTTTTTGCCCCATCTCTATGCAGAGTTGCTGGAACTGTGGCCGTAAAGCCAGCGAAACTTGCAGTGGCTGCAACACTGCACGTTACTGTGGCTCATTCTGCCAACATAAAGACTGGGAGAAACATCACCACCTCTGTGGACAGACTCTACAGGCCCAGCCACAAGGGGAGACACCAGCAGTCAGCTCCTCCGCAACACCAAATAGTGGAGCCGGGAGCCCCATCGACACCCCACCAGCAGCTACTCCTAGGTCAAATACCCCTGGAACTCCAAGCACCATAGAGTCAACTCCTCGCTAAGACTGAACTTTAAAATACTTAAAGACAAATACAAAACAAAACAAAATCCTCATCCTCAGATACTCAAAGGTTTCTACTGAACTTTCACATTTCAATATTATAAAAGAAATTATATTGTATCTTGAGGTAGAAGCAAAACCCAGAAGGCCAGTATCGGGTCATAATGACTTATTCTGGATAACAAAGATATCTTTTCTTTAGGAAACAGAGAAGATAGAACATACACACAATGATAGATTTGACCTCCTCCCTGTTATTTTCCAGTAGCTGGGATTTTAAACTAGGTGACCTCATTAACACGATGCTTTACCAAACAGCAAACCAAGAGATTGCTAATTGCTGTTGAAAGCAAAAATGCTAATAATATAAAGTCACAATGTTCTTTGTAACAAAAAATGGATTTTTTTAAACTGCGAGAAAGAGAGAGAGAATGAGAGAGAGAGAGAGAGAGAAAGTAAGTAAGTAAGAAAGAAAGAAAACAAACCCCCTCATGGGCTTAAGCATTGGATAAAGCAGCAGACATTTTAATAAAAAGATGAATAGCGTCCGTGGGTTACTGACTTGAACTCTGAAGACCCGTATCAAAAACACGCAGATGTGCAGCAGATTGGAAGGAGACACAGATGTTCATTTTTTTTTCTTGTTTCTGAATGAAATAATAATATCCAGGTCAACAGAATGAAAAATGGAAGATGATTGCAGTGGGATGAAGGACTTAAAAGAGCAGCAAAGGGAAAAAAAATACCATCACCACAAAGATCTCCTTTTCTGTCCTTTGTTTCGTTTTTTGGTGGGGATTTTTTTTTCTGTTTTGTTTTGTATTTTTTTTTTTTTAGAACAGAAATAAGAACACAGCCTGCAGTTAATTAGCATTTTGGCAGCTATAATATCAACCAGCTGCCTCTATCCTTCCCCCTCTCAAAAAGGAAAAAAAAAAAAGCTTCAAAATTTCCTTCACTTTTTTTTTACAAGCTTCCACAGCGGAAGACCATCGGGTCTGTTTCACCTTGTTCCTTTTTGTATCAGCGATGGTGACAATGCAGTGACTCCAGCTCCAGCTCCCATCCAAATTCTTTCCATCTCATCCTGTCTGGGTTTTTAATTTAAAAAATAAATAAAAATAAGGAAAAATATAGTAGTTCTCTTGGTGTTTAAAGCACTTCTGTCCTGTGAGGTTTCCCAATTGTGTTTTTTTTTCTTCCTTGTAAATGTGTTGGGGCAAATGTGAAAATGCATTGTAGTTAACTATGCTCACATTTAAGTCTTCTTTATTACTAGTAGGTGAGAAACTTTCTATGCTGCTTTTATATTTGTCTGTAGTAGTAATATTTCTCTAGAAGGTCAAAAGAAAAAGAAAAAAAAGAACCCCCCTCCTTTTTTCATTTCTCCTGAAGAAAAGAAAAGGAAAAAAAGCTATCTTTCGGAGCTGCTATTTCACTCTCTTATAGGGGGAAAAACATTCTGAAAACTAGCATGCTTCCTGGAATGCTAACATATTGGTGTTTTTCTAAGAGGGATGTACATAAATGTATTTTGCACTGTCATAAATGACTCCTAGGCATGCTTTTTTGGGGCAAACTCTTTTTAAAGATGCTAGAGCCATTTCACCGAATTTATCTGTAGGTTAGAATAGTGGTGGGTTATTTTT